CATGGAAGGTTTCATACTTGGCACGCAAAGAATATATTTACAGAGCCAAATCTGAAGAAAGGCCACACGCTCAGCATGGGAAGGTTCAGCGGTTGAGTGATTATAAAAGCTTTGCAGGCTTGAATAGGACTCAGTAAGTTTCTTATCAAATTTCGGGGCAACACTGGAAATCAAGATACCAGGAAAAATGGTATCGCCCAAAGGCGGAAGATTTACTAGGGCTCCAACGTCCCTTAAAGTAATAGACATGGGACCAAGAGGGAAAATGAAGGAGTTATACTCAGAAGACCAAAAACTCAAAGCAATAGGAAAAAGCACTGGGTCAAAAATTGGGGGTTGAAGAGAAATTTCTAATAAATCTGAAATCCTAGCACGATCAAAAATCGCCTTGGTGGGGCCTTGACTCACAAGATGTGCACGCCATCTACGAAAAATAACATCAGCTTTGGGCCAAGTGTGAATGCCTTTTTCGCGAATCGGCCTCAATGACAGAGAGTTCAGGAACGGAGGACCTTGAGTGCAAGGGAATAGCTGGCCTACTGCCACTTGTTCGACGGCTTCGGCATTATTAAATGATGGACCCAAATAGAATTCATTGAGGTCAGCACTAACTTGTGTAAGGAAGTTTGAATTTACATATGGCCTAGTGAGGATTTTCTGGAAATCTTCGAAACTAAAGGAATCATCAGATTGAGTTTGTGAAGTCACCATTGGAAACAAAGTACAGTTTTGATAAAGTTTGCCTGAGAAACGTAGCAGAGAAGCAAGAAGATGAACAGTAAAATAGCGAGAAAGAAGCGCAAAATATAGACGTGGTTGAGTGGTGCAATAAAATGACGTGTCCTTTTAGTTTATAAGGGTTTGTAACGTTGTATTTTTTCAGACAGTAGAAGGAAATAATAATTGAAATTCTTGGTAATTTCAAATATTGCTGGAAAATGCAAAGTGAATATGGCAAAGATTAATAATTAGTATTAATTCTGCCATATTGGGGGGTAATTGTTGATACACTAAAAGTGCAACCCAAATCAAATCGCCCAAAGAGTGAAGCCCAATTGGGGAATCCAGGATAAAGGTCCAAACATGATTATCGATGAATGCGGTGGAAGCCCACGAACACGGTAACATCATCGCCCAAGCTTGCAAGACGCCCAGGACCTGAACGAATAGAATACCTTACGGTTGCCCAGAGTGATGACCACGTCCTCGTCCAAACTTTCGAATCGCCCAGGATCTTAGCAAACATAAAACATTATGGTTATCCAGAATAGCAGTTATTGAGTGATCTTATCACATTCCACGATTCAAGGAGCCTAGTGAAGGCGGTTGAACGACAAAGAGTAATGGCGACAGTTAGGGACGGCAGTTCCACGACAAGTTAGCCACTATGAAGAGAGTGGGTAGTTATACAGCAATCAAGCAGTTTTCAAACGGTTTGTCACGAAGAAATTATCAAAGGAATATAAAAGGAAGAGAAGAAGACCCCGAATCAAACACTCTTAAATAGAGAATATGTAATTTCGATTTCTTAGTTTAAACTTAAACATTTCTTTTAGTACTCGTGTGCTTGCGCCCCCTTGGGGGCATTCTGTTTAGTTCCAATTGTAAATCATCGCCAATAAAACACCCATTTTTGGGACTTTGTCTCAAGAGGTCTGTTCCTTACACAATCGTCTGATTTCCTTTTTAATTGTTAGCGACTACCCGCGCGAAATAGGTACCATATGAACGGGCCTGAGAAAACCCTTGTACGGCTTCTTCGATTTCTCGATAAAGAGAAATATGACCAACAGTGGTTAATCGACTTAGTGAAATCCCCTATTTCATATATCAGAAAAAGAAATGATTCATCGGGTTCAGGTAGTCAATAAAAAATTAATGAAGGATATGCAAGATATTTAAAATTTATAGAAGGATTAAAAAGTTCAAAAGTGATATTTTCTGAAAATTATTAAGGTGATATTTTTGTAATTGTCAATTCAAAAAGTGACAAGGTTGCAAATTGCTCTTTCCAAAAAAACTATTACATGTATCTATGTAGTATTGAAAATATGCAAAGTTGTCTTAAAAGACAAACTTTTTATTCTCAAATACATTGTATATAATTCAATTCATGCAATCCTCAACAAATTCAAGCGATACGCTTCCTTCTTCCTCTAGCAAATCTATTGTGCCACCAAATTGAATACACAAACTCAACTGACTGAAACTATGCTTGTTGTGCTGCGCAAAATGAAATAATAAAACCCTAATTGGAAGCAAAAACATCACGTGAATTGGTTGAAATATACTCAGGGTCTTAATGTATCGCAAGCAGCAATATCTAAGACACTCAAACGATCAACTGACCTCTTTCAAGAAGAAGTATTGTTGAACCCAAATGCTTAAAGCTCAAAAGATGGTAAAGTACCTAGCAATGGAGTCTATCATCTATGAATGATTAGTATGCCATCGAGAGCATGTCAATATAAGGGGTTAGCCATTGAAAGAGAATATAATTAAGACAACTCCACCCCAAAGCTACCTCGTTTGAATTTTAAATGGATGGTTAGAAAATTTCAAGCAACGACATGCAATTCATTCATTTTGTCATTCTGGGGAGAGTAGTTCAATTGATATGGAGAAAATTGAAGATATTTTGCCACATTTATTAGAGGAATTAAACAAATGTGCTTGGAAGGACATTTATAATATGGATGAAAGAGGCTTATTTTATTTCATGTAAGCTGATAACTCTCTCGCAACAAAGTAATTGGAGGGCCAAAAGTAAAACAAAGAGAGAATTACAGCATAGTTATTTATTTCAATTTTGATGGCATTTACAATCTTCCACTTGAATCATCGATAACTTTCTTAAACTGAGACGCTTTAAGAATGTTAACCATAATAATCTAAACCGCGAGTATCGAGCAAATTCAAATGCATGGATGACATCTTTATTTTATAAGGAATTGTTGGGTTTTTTGATACCTAATAATCTGGGCGATGATTTAAAACAGTTGTCGGATTATTTATCGACACCATGAACTTAGCTCGGCTCGAAGACGAACTACACTTTTGGATGGCTCGGGTTTGGATTGGATGATTATTTGGACCATTTAGTGATTAATTTGGAGTTGGAAATTGGCCCATTATTTTAGGTTATATGGCAGCCCACTTAGAGATCTCTTGGTCCATATTTAGTGACCTAAACTAACCTATATATATGTATCTATCTCCCAGCTGTGATGAGTGGGTGTAGTAGCAATGGAGAGGAGAGTTGAGAGAAGAGAGACAGTCGAGAGAGAGAGGGAAGCCATGTGAGGTTGTGAGTGAGATTCAACCATTGTGATATCTTCTTCTTCCTTTCCATACCTTTGTAGATAGCTAACACCACCACCCTTCTCCTGTGTGGGGTTCAAGAGAAAGAGGGCAGTCCAAACGTGAAGGCGAAAGTCTCGAGTCAAACCGAGGTAAATTGATATTCATTTGATTGTTTTCTGAGTCCGTAATCAAGATCTATCGAGAGATTTCCGTGACAGGAATGCCTTATTTGAATAGAAATGTCTTGCTTATCGTGGATAATTCTACCAAATACGCCAAAAAGGACAATCGCCCCCATTTCATTACACAAGAGTTACGTTCTTACCACTAAATAGCACTTGCAAAATTCAGCCATGAAATAGGCATCATTAAAAAAATTTAATTTTATCCTCATCAACGCTTTAATCCTTAAAATTTTGAGTTTATCAACAAATTCTCATATCTTCATTCTAAAAATCAAATAGGCGACGAGTGAAAAAAAAATGGCCACAACTAAAAATTAATAATCTTCACTCTCTTTTGCTTACAAAGTAATCGATCGTTTAATAATTTGGCTTCTCTTGTGCAAAAATTCCATTATCAAAGTTCGGTGAACCAAGATAAAGTTTTATTTAGTTCTTATGTAAACGAAATGTTGCTTAGATAGGATCATAAATGAGTTCTAAATAAAGAGATAATTGCATGAAAGCTACACTCGGCACAATTGTCTTCGTATTTAATTTTATTTCACTTTTAATAATATAGTAGACACTCCTCTTATTTTGCGAGAACGTCAATATTTGATGTTGATTGCATTATTTCTTTTTCATCATTTTCTTCGATTTCTTAATATCTCTACATCTCATTTACAATAGGTTGATCAAATTGAAAATTTAAACAAATTAAAATCTTAAACTTAGGATTCGCTTGTTGGAACTTTTAACAAAAAAATTAGTATAATAAAATAAAACTTGATAAAATATATAATTAAAAAGTTGTGTTTGATGTGGCTTTTTGGAAGATTTCTATCAGATCTTGATGGAAAGGCATGCTAACGTTAGAAATATAAAAATAGGAGCCTACAAAGTTCATGTTGAAGTAGGTAATGCAGGATGTACTATGTCAAATGTATAATTCAAAGCAAATCTTAATTATCAAAATGCCCCTGAAATATCTCCAAATCAAATCTTTGACCGCAAGTAGAGTAAATAGATATTCCCACGAAAAAAATACTGATTCCGAATTCAAGATTGGCTAGTGCATTCTCTCGTGGTCTTCTTGAATCCTCTCTATGTCGTGTTTCATTTTGTTCATCTTCTCTAATCATCTTCAACCTCTAATTAGATGATTTCTTATCATTTTCTGAGTGAAAAATAAGTCTGTGATTCTTCTGCGAGAGAAGAATACTGATTTTGATATGTTGTATTCTACTTTAAAACTTACTACAACGATCTGAAAACCAAATTCTTTCACCACAAAAATGCACCCAGACATTTGCTAAATATTGACTTCACCTCAACCATTTAGTTACTTGTTAAACTTTCCCAAACAAACACTTGATATCCATTGATTTTGTTTCATTTCAATCGTTACATTAATCTAACACCTATGGCTCAACGTGTGTAGTACAATTTGGCCAAACAGAAACGCAAACCCCAAAAACAAAAACAAAAACAAAAACAAAAACAAATAAAAACACAATGATAGGAAGAATATTGTGTGAAAAATCTTGTATCTCTACTGTGTATTACAAATTATCACCAAGTTATGCCTAATGGTGAAAGTTCACAGAGATGACAACAATCATATTTTGACTTGAATGAATGCTATTTTTCGTAAATTTTGCAATTGAAAATAAAAAACAAATAGGATATAGCCATAAGGGTTCTTCCCGAGCAATGAGCAGATAAATTATCTGGCTCCAAACATGCAATATAGAAAATCCGATGCCATGTAAATCATACTTGAATGATTGGAATCCATGGCAATGCTGAAGAACTATTTACAATTTGCATGTGACAAAATCTGATCAAAAATTTCTTAAACTACAAATTTACTACCTTTTGGATTCCAGCTGTAATAGTATCCAAGTCAATTACATCCTTGCTTCCTTTTGCCATTCGTCGCTGATCAAGTTGAAGTCTCAATTCTGCTATTTGCTTATGTATCTTCTCTCCTTTATCGGGTAATCTAGAAACAGCAACCTGCAAAACCAATCAACAGGGAAATACAAGAATGGGTATACTTAATGGCAGCAAAATTGTGGAAGAAACGGAAAACTGATAAAATATATGAAAAAGCAGCAACCAAAAGAATTTTCATCAATTAATCAAACAAATTCGGAATGATAACTTCAAAATAAGAGGCAGAGCTGAACTTATTTCCCAGATCATGCTTCATAATATTTAAATAATTACAAATGATTTTGATTGATATTAGGCCATCTGCCTCTTGTCAAATAATCTTCAGTTGCCAACTTTGAACATTACATTCACACCCCATCTAAAATGCAACTGGGTCATTGATTCAACATGCAATAATGTCTTATTAGGCTATCAGACATTGTTATAGATTAGTTTCCAATTCAATGTTCTGGAAGCCTTGATTTTTTTTCCACTTTTAGGGAACCGTAGTGTCATCATCTGATGGAACCTTTGAAATTTGATGCATATCAATAAATATAGTAATGAATTCCCAAATTCATGTTCATGTCACGTGCTTTTGATATATTCTGCAGAAAATGAATCTGTAGGTTACCCTGATGTAACATAACATTCCAGCGACCCTCAGTTGCACTTTTCAAGAATTAAAAGTTACGACATTCATATCCAATAATACATATCAACCAATTAAGTTTAGAATCTAAAAGCAATGAAAAGTAGCTTCACTGGATTCTCTTTGATTGAAAAACAAATATGGGTTGAGGGAAAAATCATGATTTCCACATGTGCTTAAAGACCAGCGATGAAGATACCTTATTGGTAAGCATCTGAGACAAGCGATGGATTCTTTCTGTGATTTCAGTTTCTGAAGGTTCATTTGCAGCAGGAGCAAAAATTTTCTGGACCTTATGCACATCCTTAGGCTTAAACGCGTAATCCGCTCTGCAAATATAAATGATATTTACATTATATGAGAAAATAAAGATTGAGATAACCATTCACATTAAAAACAATTCCTAGAAGCATACCCATCAACATTATATTCATGCGATGAGCGAGAGGATGAGTTGTCAGTGAACGTACTACCTCTTACCCTGTATCCAAAACACGGGAACATAGAAGTTAAAAACTTTGTAAGGTGATGTTCACTTGATGTGTTTTTAGGCCAAATGCAAGTGGTTAAATATTCACAAGGCAAGAGATGCAGTGCAGAACAAGACATCATGTTCCCCATCATGTTACTCTGCCTTACTGCAGGCCAAGACACCATTGTTGCAGTTTGAAAGATTACAGCATGCCAATATACGGGGGTGTAAAAATAACAATTACCTTCTTACTTCCTCCTCTATCTGAACATCTGGTACCGGTGCTGTCTTGGAGAAGAGTAAACTATGCTGGCTAACACCGGCAATATTTAGAGTTTGAAGGAACTCTACATGGGCTTTGACAGACTCTTCCCTAGAGGAAGATGAGAAAAGTTATAATCCATAAGGAAAATTAAGCAAGCAAATGCCTTGTATCAAATGACTCTTTGACAATAGCCACAAAAAGCGTGTGAAATCAATGGACAATTGTAAGTCTTGATATATACCTAACATCAATCCCATGGAGTAATATTTATGCATTAGAATAATATGTTTTAAATCCTTTTTAATTCTTATTATATCTCAAACTGAAAAATGAAGCTTTGAAGTGCTTGAAAAATAAAGATCTCAAATCAATAACTTCAGCTAAATGAATATCTTGCATGTTCAAAAACCAAATAAATAATTATATTACATTGTGTGTTGCTGATCATGCTCTTCATGCAACTGCTGTTGAGTCAGAGAAATATCAAATCCCTGTCTGGGAAGGCTGAAAAGATCTCGCAGATCCTGAAGAGTTAAAGACGATATCAGCCTCAAAAAATGTGCTATACATGGAAGAAACTGTAATTGTCCATCTAAGATTGTAGGAATTAGTTTGGCCTGGCACAATTATTTACACAAGTATAAAGTTGTGTGCTCATGTAGTTTTCCAGCTAGCATCATTGCCCGTGATGCATGTAAATATATGAATAGAATAAAAAATTATGTCATTATGATAAAGATCACGTGAAGTTTTAATTTTTCTTCATGATGTAACATATAAGGTGTCAATAATTTAGGCAGTGCTGCAGTGGTTGAAAAAGATACTATAGTATTGATTGTAAAAGAGAATATCTTACTTCAAGAAAGTGTACATCAATTTTGGGCAAAACAAAATGAAATGAAGAATTGTAAACATTCCATTTCAAGCAAATACCTGCTGACTGAAATACCGTATCTGCTCTTTATGTTCAGTTGCACTTTTAAATAGCCCTCCTTTGAATACCTGGATAACGAATTTGAAAATAATAAAATTGAACAAAGAACGATGAATTTAAGGCCAAAAAATGACCAAGAATTGTATTTCTTCATCATCAATCGTATCAATGTTCTCATGACCCACGATAAACAACTATGGCCAAATCGGATTCAATTGTCAAGTGCCTCGTGGAAAAAGAAGAAAGGCTACGGCAAGTAGTGACCATTTTATATAGGCACCCTGTCACCAGGGCATGACTACAACAAGAAAGACCAATACTCATAATTGAACAAGACTTAGAGTGCCAAGAGGGAAAAGTTTTAAATTTAAGTAAGCCTAGCCTCAGTCTCTATAGTTATTAGAAGATGAAAAATTAAGGCACATATGATATAATATGACAAGAAAAATTATTTAACCTGCTTTCTATAAATTTTCTCTTCAACAGTGCTGCACGTCATTAATCTGTATACAATTACATCCTTCTTTTGTCCAATCCTGTATGCACGATCAACACTTTGATTGTCCATGCTGTTGAAGTTGCAAACGAAGTCAATAAAACATAATACAATAGCAACGAAATCTATGGAGAAAGATTATCTACAATATGTTAAAATTAAGTCCAATATTCATTATATCTTGACAAGTATCGCGCATACAAGGACAATTGCAAAGAGCTTTTCGTTTCATATACGCTTTCTGTCATCAGCTTAGAAACTGTTTTCTCAAAGATAAAAAGCCATACAACTGTGGATATGTGAGTGAATAGAGAGGAAAATGATGATCTAAACAAGCAATAATCAGTCTATAAATTGTAAAATACTCTAACTTAATGTCTGAAACAAATATTTAACTTCAAGTAAAGAAAGAAATGCATGTTCTCAAGAAAAATTTAAATGAAAAACTAGAGGCTGTAAGGATATTTTTTTTCTTCAAACAAGCACCTTGGATTCCATGCTGGATCAACCACAATCACACGATCTGCTTTTGTGAGTGTAAGCCCCAATCCACCAACTTGGGAAGTTAAGAGAAAGATTGGAGCTCCACAACCCTCTTGGAAATCCTGAAAAATAAATGAAAAGTGAGAAATAGATATGGGAATTTCATATGAATACTGATAATTCTATCCAGAAGCAAACCTTGACGATTGCAGCTCTATCACTGGCTTTTGTGTTACCATCTATCCGCAAGAACTTGTAGTCACTGGACATTAGGGATTCCTGATATGAAATATGGTCAAAGAATTATCAATACACATGCCAAATCAGAGAAACAATCTAAAACACAGGATAGGGTAAAAGATAAGAGGGATGACAATCAAATAGACAAATAGATATAAAGTTCACAGTCAAATTCAAATGACAGAAAAGTAATGTGAACCAGAGTGCATGTGAACATCTCCACACTGTACATCAGCTAAGACCTTTAATGGAAAAAATTCAATCTAAGACAAAATGGAGCAAAAACCAAAACCATTCACCCTTCATATAAACAGACAAGTAATATATTTCTTAAGTTCATATTCACAAAATCTTAATGCTAAACTGCAAACTTGAATATAACCATTGACAATACCAGAGGCTTAAATTGTACTCTGTGGTTCAAATGTCAAGTCTAATTTCTACTTTCTACGTCCAACTTCTAGAACAGCAAGAAATCAAAATATCTCATACATAAGAAAATTCCTTGCTGCCTCATTTTAAATTTTTAGTTGATTACATGGGGTTGAACAAGGGGGAGAATCTCCAACTTCAGAATCTCCTCTAATTCAAAGCTCGCTCTAGAGTGGCATCCATTCAGAGTTACAACATTTTAAATACTATGCTAGTAACACACCCTTACGATAGAGCATTGCAGAGGAAGAAGAAAGGCAGCTTCACAGGCTGAATACCAAATACAATGACACTTCAGTACAAAAGGATAAGTAACACTTAAGAATGCTTATTTACAGCCTATATGTAACAAAAAGCTTGTCCGCCAAATTTCAGGAAGCAAGAACTACAAATTGTCAAATTCAATGCTCTATGAAACTCTACCCAACACTCTACCCCACCTTCCAAATAAAAGGATTTATGTCCAAGTCATTAGCCACATCCTTCGTTCCTTTTTTATGATCAAGCTAAAAGTTCGATTCAGCTATTTTCTTCTGCACTGCCCTCATTGATAAAATAGTTGAGGAGTCTCAATACCTGAATTAGATTAAGCATCTTCCGTGTTTGTGAAAAAATAAGCACCTTGTGTCCCTTTGGAAGCAAATCGCCCTGTAACAAATCATATACAAGATGACAAATTATATGTATTCACACAAGTAGATTAATCAACAGTTGATATGTAAGTCCTGACCAATAAAGATAGGATGAATGATATTTTGCAAGAGACATTGTGCTTCTCTATAAAGTCAAATTTATCAGCAACATCTGCTATATGCATTGCCAACTTCTCAGCCACACCACGATCTTCCTGGCCTACCATTGAATCCATCCCTTCCAAAACCTCTTCAGCAGCTCTTTTTGTTAATAGAAGTGGATGATCGCAAATTTTTTTAAGTATCTGCTTCCCAAAAAGCATAACAATTTAAATTACCAGGTTTGAGATGGTAATTGGTAAAGATAACCAAATTGATGAAACCAATAAAAAAATTATGTAGAAACAAAGAAGCATGGATATGAAGAAGACCATAACAAATCATGAAACGAAAATTTTAGTTTCATAATGCTTATGTCCCAAAGTTCTAAGATGCAGTTTTTGTGGAAGCTAAAAAGACTGACATGATAACCTTGTCCACTTTTCAAAAATTACTTGTGTGGTGCTCATGCTTGTGCCGGAATCGATAGGGCATGGAGAAGAAGCAAGTAATTACTCTTTTTTAGCTCTGATTTTGTGTATTGTATGTAAATATTATATATTTTAGGGGTCATTATTTGTTGTATTCACTTAACTGTGAATTGTACTTTGTATGATAAGCATCAACAAATAGAAACTAAGTTTTTCCCTATAAATTTGGCGTTGATCAAATGAATTCTTGTTCATGACTATGTTGGAATGATTGTTAAATGTGAAAGATCTAAAGCCACTAAAATCTTAACAATTACCACACGCCATGTATCATCATTGTCAACAAAATAATATTAGCCCTTGTTTAAGCCACATTATATTCCTAAAAATGAATTTTTGAATGGTGTATCGATGAAAAATGTGTGATTAAAAAATAGAGAAAATTTTTTTATTTGCGTATAATATTATTTTATTGAAAAATGTGTGGTTGAAATGATGTCAAATCAATGTTTAAGAATGTATTTTTTTGAAAAATGTGGCACAAACATAGCCTTACTAATATCTCAAAAGGTGTATTTCCTAGATATGAAACAAATTGGACCTGAAGTTCTTTTTTATATGGTGACCAACTTTTTGAATCTCGTGCTCATTTTATTTATCTATTAAAAAAAGTTATAAAGAAAATCAAATTACCCACAAAATTGTGTCCAAACATTTCGGAAACGTGTCTGCATGTTAAGAATCATGCTAACAAATTTCCAAAAAAATTGGCAAATCTTGTAACAAGAATTTAAATTTCAAGCACATATTAGACATTGAACTGCGCTGGAAATAGTTTACATTATAGCAGAAAAATGAATGATTATCCCATAAAATTTCAGCGATGTCAAAAAGAACCTTCAAGAACACATAGAGATGGAGAAAAAATGAACTTAAACCAAAAGGAAAAAAATTAACTCCAGTGAGCATATTACCGTGAGAGCAGCAAGAGGTGACCCATCGCAGGCTGAGATGACAATCTCACTTTTTAAGAAAGCTTCATAAAGTTGACGCTAAACAAGGAAAAGACATATCACCATAAATCATTTACTCAAATATTTTATCGAAAACAAGAGACGATAAGAATTTTCTTAATAAATAGCATGAAGTATAATTAGGAATATGCACCTGCAATCCAGTTAATCGCAACCATACAATAATCTCATTCTTCTTGGAAAGTGTTGTATCATCACGAAATACTTCACTCTTCATACGTCTCAAAAAATATGGTTGAATGCATTCTCTTAATTCCTATAAAGATGACATGAGACCAAATTGTGATAAGGAATTGTACATCTAATGAAGGCTAAAAAGATAGGATTTAACTAGATTGCAAACTGGACATTCGGGAGATTGAGTAAGCCCCAACCAAGTGATTACCAAATGGGTACAATAATCATGTCACAACATTAAACAACAAATAAAGTTTAACTAAGAGAAGTTCATATGTTCAAATAAGTTAGTTCAATTAATATCCATAAAGCAAATGCTAGAATCACACTTTTTTTGAGATATAAATTATTATCTTTACAAATGAGTGAATATATATATCCCGATACTTGACAATGTATTCTATTCGAGCATTTTCCATAATGAAGCCATCTTTTAAGAATCCTCAACACTTAATTCAAACACATATTAACCAACTCGATTTTAATCAACTAATATCTTGAGCTTCAAACTTCATACGAAAACCTCAAACGACAACAAAATAGAAGACAAGAAGAAATTGATGTGCAATTATAATGTTTACAGGCTGTCGAATAGAAGCAGCCCCAGGTGACAATTGATGAATATTGCACTCCAGCAATATATTAATAATCCTGATAGTAGGTATACAATAGGATATTTCAACATCAAAAATCACCACAAGAATATATTGATTAGTTTAAAATGTGAAATCAAGCCTAAAAACTACAAGGACATGTCACATTGTAGTGACAGCTAGAACAAAGAGGCTCTTTCATAGTATCAGTTGTCACAAGTTTGAAGCTTATATAGACACTAACTGTCACTTCTGAGTATAATTGCTATCCGCTCCACCAAAAGCAAACCCAAAAGATATTTATGCCAAATCCATATATTGTTTTGCATAATAACCTATATAATTGTCAAGCTAAAGCTGAAGCAACAAGAACCACAGACATGGACATTCATGTCTGACATAATACGTTGACGTGCGATTTTTGGAAAAAGTTCGGACACAATATGTTACAATCCAAATTTTACTAGTCAAAAATCATTAGTTGAATTGTCAATGTCAAAGTCAAAGTCAAATAGGGATTAAAATGAAATGAATTATTTTATTGGGTTTATTTTACAAATTGAAAATATTTTGAGGGTTTATGATGGATAAAAGTTAAAGTTGGATATTATTTTTCTACTAGTGGAAGTAAAGTATCTAAATGCTTTTCTATAAGAAGGTTGGAGGACTTAAATGCAAAAAAAGGGTTATAGAGTACATGTGGCAAGAAATTAACCTATATCTCTTTTTTTTTTTTTTTTTTATATACACACAAGAGAGAGAGAGAGAGACTTGGACGGGCATATTGCAGAAGCCAGAAAAATCGAGAAAGAGGAAGAAAAAGGAGAGAAAAGAAAAGAGAAAAAGGAAGAAAAGGAAAAAAAGGACGGATGAAAACTTGAGTTCCATTATTTAATTTCTTCATTTCTTAGAGAGGAAAGGAGGTAAATGTTTTGTGGTATAATTTATATTAAACTTTCTAGGCTTCTGACTAGTTGGGTTAATTTGATAGTTTAATTTGGAAGAGTATGATTTCAAGCTGGTCTTTTTTATTTATGAAAGATTTTTATATCAAGGTAAGAAATACTAATTTTGGTAAACTCTAGAGTTTTTAATTGAATTCTTGAATAAGTATAATTAGTGGAAATGATAGTGATGATGAAATGTTCACTTGAAAGTATGATTTTAAGGAATAAGATGTAAATTTAATTGGTCAAACTATGGTTATTAGTTTTACTAGATTGGAAGATGGGATAATTATTTTTATGATTAGGATAAAGCTTACTGTGATAAATTAGTTATTAAAAAAATGGACTAGAAAGTGGAATTAGCTTGAAGTGATCAAAGGAAATTGGGAAAAATTATTTAAGTATCGAGAAGTCAAGTTTTAGTATTCTACTGTTAATATTAAGAGATACTTAGTATGGGACTTGTTAAATTAGTCATTTTACATCATATTTCAGCTGATGACATGAAAATTTCACAAGGCTCGTCAATTTACCAAATTGCTATCCATAGATCGGTGAGTGGATAAAATTTATTTTTTAGAAATTACTATTTATTAAATTTATATTAAATCAGAAAATTTATTATTCATACAGTTGTTTTGATAGCTTGATTTTCAGAATAAATTTGATTTATAAATGGTTATTTTTAAAGTTTGATCCAGTTCAGTTAAATCATTTCATTGACATGTTTTATTGGTATTACATGTTTTAGTATAGTTAAAGTTATTTTCTAAAAACCACCAGAAAGTACCCAGATGATTTTACCCTCGTTTGCACTGATGTGAATGTGTTTCCACAGTGTATGACCAGTTATAGTGATTTTACCCGCTCTACACTATTATGAATGTGTTTTCATAGTGTATGACCAGATTATCAGAGGTCTTTGAAACCTACTCTCGTACACACATAGGCTTTAGGTCGTGTACTAACGTGATTAACCTTTGGGGCAGCTCTACGTACGTATGACCAGATTATCATATTTAAATGGCTTTGCTTTGTACATCGAGATTACTCTGTACATGAGTAAGGCTATTCATTGGGTACATTTTTTGTGTGATTTTTTAGTATTTCTACAGTTTTGGAAATAATGCCAAACACATTTATATTCTTCTTACTCAGCGTTGTGTCTTTATTTCTTCTTCCTGTCGCCAATCTTCCGTTCTTCCGACACGTCTTCAGTTTTTCATCTTCGACACATCGACGATGTGTTGGAGACATACCAATGTCCAATACATGTCGAGCCTCGAGCACTGATACGCCTACGCCGAGAACGTGTCAATGCTTGCTAGAGAACCACATAGGCAAAAGTTTTTGAAAGTTACTAGTTCGAACCTAATATCACCTAGAGGGGGGTGAATAAATGAATACCGAGGAATTAAAATAACCAATTAAAAACAACGAGCCACTTATTAATTGTTTCTAGATGGTTAAACAAACATGTCAAATTATCTTATGTTGAACTTCCACTGTTTGTTATATGAAAGCAATGAACAACACAAGAATTGTTGACGGGGAACTCTAACTAGGTAAAAACTCCAGGACCAAACCAGAAACCTCCACTGTAGACAATGACAAACTTACAATACGATCCAATTTAGAAAATTTTACTAGACCGCTGATATAATTTCTGCAATGTCCAAAACTTGTTGAAACGTGCTTCACTCAAACCTGTTCCCGATCTTTTGAAATTGTCTATCTCCTATAGATCACCAAGAACACCTTGTTCTTGTACTCTTCCTGTGCTTCTGGTCCAACCTCTCTCAATTCTTCAACAACCTCTTAAAGCTCTTGAGAAAGTACCTCCCTGAGTGTATGTAGGAAGTGGGTGTTTTGGATTCTATGAATTTGATGTTTTTCCCAAAGTTGTGGTTGTATGAATTCAAGGATCAAAGGATAAATTCAAAGGCTAGAAAGTGTTCTTGAATATTTGAATTATGTTGTGGAGAAAGCATACAATGAACAACCACTCAAATTTAGTGGAATTAAAGTTTTGTGCATAACACCATTGCTCGGGCAAGAGCTTAGCAACAGGCAAGGGACGGTCTGTTGCTCAAGCGAGAGCTCAACGACAGTCGGACGACAGGGTTTTTGTTTTTGCTGCTCAAGCATCAAATGGGTGATAGGCTAGCGAAAATCTAGCTGCTCTTTTTCTTCCTTGTTCCAAACTCGAACATTAACTTACCTAATTCATCTATTTACTATTGCAATGTACTCCTTGACTTTTACAACTCTTTATTTTAATCCCTTTGTCTAAAGAATTGCCTACACAATAAAATCCTAACAGTTTCAAAGCAAAGAAAATAAATTTGATTCTATGGTCCAACGAACATACAAATTAAAAAAAAGTTCATATCCTCCCAAAAGAATGTGAAGGAAAAAATAATAATAATAATCCAAACTTGTGGATAAAATTATCACCTTCGCAACCGCTGAACCTATTCGCTTTTCCCTGTCAGAGGCATTTTTTTCATTTCCTCGATTGATATAGTGCTCATATTTCTCTTTAAACCTATGAGAAACAATTAATAGGAGAAAAAAATTAATTTACAAAGACAGCAACTCAAAAGATAACTCAATCGGAATTTGGAAAGCCACATTACCATTTCTTGTCACCTAGCAGCTCCGGACAACAGAAGTTAAATAAGGCCCATAATTCCTGTTTTGGATTATAGAACAGAAACAACACAATAACATCATATGTCATTTACTTGTGGTAACTGTTAATAGAGGACATAGTGCAATCAATTAGAACAACTAAAACAGTAATAAAAAACCTTGAAAGGACAGGTAAAAACTACCTTAAGATTGTTCTGAAGTGGTGTGCCACTAATGATGATGCGCCGAGCACAAGGTATCTGGAGCAAACTTTTAGCCCTTTGAGTGCTTGGATTCTTTATAAGATGGCCCTAAAATTTTGCAAAAATATTAAATTTAAAACTTAAGAAATAGACAGTGGCTATGCTTTCAAGAAAAAGTAACATAAAAACAATACTTCATCAAGAATCATATAATCCCATGTCATCTCATCTTCAGATCCATCATCAAGGTAATTGCAATCTCCACATAAGGGTTTTGTATTATTCCGCACAATATCGTAAGTTGTTAAGAGAATACCTTTGTCCTGTGAGAAAGATGACAAAAACATCTAGCTTGTCAAAAAACAGAACCACAGAGAAATAGTCAAAAATGTATCTGAATCCATTATACTAATATCACCAGAAGAGAATTCTCACTGCCAAATCTGGCATGGAAAACTTCATATGAATTTCAAAAGTTTCACAAAACAATAATAGTTATTCAGTTATTACAAGATAATGTGTTTTAACTGAATAACGCAGCGAGCATTTGAGCTGAAATCAAGGAAAATTCGTAACAAAGACAACCAATCATATAAAACTCAACAACTTATAGCCTTTTTACCTGTGTTGATTCTACTTGAGCACAAATAGTATATCTAATTGTCAGAAATACTTATTTAAAATGAGTACAAAGTTTATAAGCTACAAACCAACACTGCCTTCAGTTAAACAGTAAAAAGTTACTAAAGTGAGGTAACATGCAGTCTCCTTCTCTTTATATTGTATATAGAGCCTGAAGTGTAAGGGAAAAAAGACCTGAAGTACATATTGGAGCTCATAATGTCGAGTTTTCTGACATGTTGCAAAATATCTGCAAGAGAGAGAAAGTTGGAGGACAATTATAGCTCCAATATTGTTTCAGTTAATGTGTTCAACAGAAATAAAAAGAAACCATAATAATCATACTCTCTTGTCTTCCCAGATAATCCTACAGCTGAAAACTCATTGATCCAATGAGATAATAGTGTTTTTGGAGCAACAATCAACACTCTCTTAATCAAAGTGGAACTAAACAATCCAGCTAGAAAGCTACAAATCTGAAAATAGAATAGGTCTAGAAAGATCAATTATCCGCATGATTATCTTAATTAATAAGAAAAAAAAATCTGTACTCCAGATTAAAAGGTTTTTTTCTACCTGCATTGTCTTTCCAAGGCCCATATCATCACCCAAGATGCCGCCCTTGCCCTTGCAATGAAGGGACCATAGCCATTTCAGACCATCGCTCTGATGAGGATACAGCATTTTTGCAATTTTACTAGGTAACCTGTAAGTACACTTCAAACCACTCAAAATGAAGTCATCCACACGATCATCCAAAATCTTAATTTCCTCAGATTTATCATCAGACACCTGAGTAAACTTCCCTTGCCTCAGATCTGCTCGTTTGGCATTGTTCCCTTCACTCAAAACCACACAATCACTATCACCGTCCTCTCCTCTTTTGAAATTGAAAGCAAGAGATTGGTTTACAGATACGGACTTCACGCCCACCCTCATGAGTTCATTCTTCTTCAGCCCTTCGACATGAATCTTGGCTCTATTGACTTTACGAACAAAATCAACATCATCAGAATCAGTACCCAAACAATTTTTCTTTTGGTATTCATTCACAATAGGACATCCGGTCTTTGACTCCTTAGTTGAATCCGATGAGGAATTGGATGACCGTGAAAGGAAAGAATCAGCCCTCCTATATTCAGGGATTTCCTTTTTTGCATCCACATTATACGATGTCCTCACTGAATCCTTAAAATCCTCATTTAAATCTACTTTCCTGGGAACACTTTTCTTCTCAACAGAAAGAAGCTCAAGCTTTGAGCTCAAATCATTTAGAATATCCCTAATTTCATTTCCAGTGCTCTCATATGCTGTTTTCACCTGAGGAGGCGAATCAAAATCCGAAATCCCAGTGAATGCAGGTTCTACTTTTTCAATTAAAGTCTTCCCTTCATTATCGTTGTTTTCACTCTTTGAAATTTTGCAAAGCCGGCGCCTACCTTTTAACTTCACCTTCATTTGTTTTTCATCTTCTGCAATTTATTTATCAATCCACAAACTCTATCATAAAATATCAAAAGATATTGCATTGTAAATTTTAGAGTGTGGTGGATTCAGGAAGATTCGGTAATACCTGGAAGACTGGAATCAACATGAGAATTGCCTGAAATAGAAGAATTTCACTNTAATATACCAAGAGTGGGAGATGGGGAATCTGACAAAACAATGCCCGCGAACATATTGGGTACCTCTTCCTGTTCGTTCACTGAGTCGTCCTCGAGTTTCAACTCGGATTCTTCATCGTTCACTACAACTTTCCAAAAACGATCAGTGCAAAATACATACTGCATATAAAACCCATAAACATATAGTGAACATCATTTATTCTGATTTATTTTCTCATTTCAGGGAGAAAAAAACTTTACCAGTAGAAAGAGCAGGAGTAGAAAGAGAATCGGAACCGAAATCAATGATCCCAGAGAATCGAGGAACGTTTTCGTTTTCAGTTGATTGAGCACTATCATCCACTTCGATTTTCCCTGAAATTTAATAACAAAAGAAACAATTAATAGATAAGAATACAATAAAAGAACACGAGAAATATCTACGAATATCAACAGAAATACATATAAATGTAAGCCAATGTATACAAAATACCAGGGAGTAAAGAAGAGGAAGTGCGGGGAACGGGCTTTTTCTTATTGTGAGAAGCGGAGAGATCTAAAAGGATTCGATTATGGAGTTGATTGAGGCTCAATGGCTGCTTCTTTTTCCCCTCCGCCATTTCTGATTACTGGTGGTGGAATTGGATGTGGTGGTGCAATAGAGTTGCGTCCCGCTTGCTTTGTGTGAGAATTTGAAATTCAAATTTGGAATTGAGCGTTGGAATCGAAGCGAAGGAATGTTTGGCACGGAAGATGGGAGATAGAGAACAATGAAAAATGTTTCCGATTGTTTGGGCTTGGGGAAAAGGATCACAGGAGGAAATTTTACCTTCATCTGATTTTGGTTATTTCAGTCTCTTTTCTATACTCATTTCTAATTCTAGCCCCTGTTTGGGCTCCATTTTTATGTAATTCTAAGAAAAAATGTATTTTGATATAGTGAATTTTTAAAAAATGTGTAGTTGAAAAATATAGAAAATATTTGAGTTTTCGTGTAATATTACTTTATTGAAAAATGTGTGGTTAAATATAAGCGAGAAGAATGCATTTTCAAAATAATGGAGCCCAATCTAGCTGTTAATAATATACATTTTTTAAAAATTATTTTTCACGTTTTTCATAATTTTTCTTACTTTTTAACTATGCTCTTCTACGCAAATCGAAATTTTTTTTATTATTTTTTAATTATACATTCTCAAAAAAAAAAAAACACTATTTCGAAATACTTTTTGAGAAAAATTCATAATTAAGAGGTTAAGGCCCTTTTTGATCCACATTATTTGAAAAAATACATTCTTAAACAGTGATTTGATATCATTTCGGTCACACATTTTTTAATAAAATAATATTACATGCAAATCTAAAATTTTTCTTTATTTTTTAACAACAAGTTTTTCATCAATACACTATTAAAAATGCATTTTTATGAAAATAATGTAACTCAAACAAAAGTTAAGTATCACCAATTTCAAAATCAAGAACAAAAGTTTCAAATTTAAGAAATCAGATATTTATTAAAATTTATTTATGTCTTAATTAATTATATATTTTATTAAATATATTAAAATCACATATCTATACAATTTGATCACAAATTAACGATTTAGTTAGTCAAATATTATTTTTCAGTCACAAATCAGAATTTTTATGTCACAAATTATTTTACGGTCACAATTTAAAAAATTTATGTCATAATTTGTTTATCGGTTACAAATAAAAAATTTATAAGTCACAATTTATTTATCGATCACAAATGACAAATATTATAAGTTACAACTTATTATATAATCACGAATTATCAAAATATCAATCACAAATTAACAATTTTTTATGTCACATTATTTCTTGATTACAATTTATCTTTTTCACTGGTTACAGTTAACAAAATAATTTGTGACCACCACCAACACTTGTGACCACTAGCTCACCACTGCCTCCAGAACCATCACCACCGTTGTCGCTAGAACTATCACCACCATTTCCAAACCACCCCAAAACCATCGTCTATTGTCCTGTCTACCGTCGGCCATATCGAGTCACTGCCACACTGTCGACTACTATAATTTCACCATCACCTCTCCAAATCAACAAACAAACCACTAATAGCCTCCAGCAAAATCAAACCAAACTACAACACACCGTCCGCTTCACTCTACTGCCATATTTTTCGATCTCTTAACTATCACTGCCAGTCGCCACCTCCGCCCCACATCAACCCATGGAAACCACCGTCATCGACACCTCCTCAACAACAACCACAACCACCTCACACGCCACTACGCTGATTTTCAACCTAAATCTTCCTATTAACAAAATATGTAAATTTTCAGAAAACATTCATTTCAACAACACGAAGATTAAAGCTAGGTCAAGCAATGTCGTCAGGTGTCGATCACAATTGTACTGCACCGTTCATAGTGGCGATGATAGTCCAATGAGGCAACGTTGTCGGGTGGAGATTGCCGATAGGGCAAAAGATGCGGTTTTTGATGATGCATGGAGCGAAAGAGGTATAGTAACACAACGCTAGATGGAGATCAGAGTTGTATCATGCTTCTCGCAGGGGAGGTGACGGTCCCCTGCACACGGCAGTGCCTCATCGATCTGACAATAGAAGGGTAGGAAGGAGGAGAGAAGATGAAAATTAGGTTTAAAATTGCGTGGGGTAAGGGGGTGGTTTATAAATATATTTAATTTTAAAGAATCATAATATTAAAAAGAATAAAATTATTAAATAACTAATTATAATCTGAAATTTGAAATATGAAACTTAAGATATGATTTGTGAAAAGTAGATTTTAAAAACAAGTCTATGTGTAATTTTCACTACCCCCCCCAAAAAAAAAAAAAAAACAATATAGCGTTCAAACAAGCGCATAGTGTGTCGAGTTTAGAAGTCAAATGGATCACATAAGAGCATGTTTGATACTCATTTTTTCTCAAAATATATTTTGAAATAGTATTTTGATGAAAAATGTATGGTTAAAAAATAAAAAAATAAAAATTTGTATTTGCTTGTGGTATTATTTTATTGTAGAATATGTTGTTGAAAATAAAAGAGAAAAATGTATTTTAGAAATAATGGTGACCAAACAAGAGCTAACTATTTGGAGAATATTGATCTCCTATTTGAGTTCCAATTTAATTTAGTGCTTGTTTGGTGGGGATTCTGATAATTGATTTTTTGATCGTTAGAGAAAAGTTAGTTATATTTGTGAGAGAAGAATTCAAAAATGAAGGTTGAAATAGTGAAATAACGCTCAAAAATTGATTTTAATTGGCTTAAAATCCGTACTAATGTATTTTTTATTTTTTTCATTTTCAACTATATATTTTCCAATAAAATAATACTACACGTAAACTCAAAACGTTTTCTTATTCTTTTAACCACACATTCTCCAAAAAATTAGTATTCTAAAATACATTGTTTTTCCAATATCTCATTAAAATGAAGCCCAAACAAGGACTAAGTCTATGTTTAGTGGTGTCGAATCCAATGGACAGTTGACACTACATCTCCTATGTTTGATAATGTTTTCACCGATCTTAATGACATTCTAAATCCTGTCGATTTAGGGAGAGAAAGGTGTGCATGGGAGTACTGATCCAATTAATTTGGATAAGATTGATGTAGAAGAAGAATCGCATGTAATGAGTGCTACCGATCAATGAAGAAGACGACGAACTATCAAGTGTTATGAAGACTACAAAATGGCCACGGGTCAAGTTAGTGGAGCCAGGATCAAAAGTAGTATGCAGGTACTACAAAGTAAGACTGATATAGCAAAAGGGTATGGGAACTACCTATTATTAGAAATGTTTGGCAAAACATGGAGCTATGAATCATGTACAGGCTCAACTCCAATTTGGTTTATTGGTAAAAGATTCTACTTAACACATGGGTCTATTCAAATAAGAAATGTTGCGAGAAAATGGTCAAGTTCGTAGTAAGTGTTGAGCAATCGCATGGAAAGCAAACAGTTCACCAAATTCATGAGAGCATTTTCAATGGTGGTGTATAATTGAGTGTAAATTGATATTTCCAAAACTACTTTTGCATCTTCGTTTACTTCCCGATGGAATTAAAATCAAAATTTGATCAAATGAAAATATCTAAATCTACTTTCAGATGTAAAAAAAATTTAAAGTTGCACCTTTTTTTCTTTTAACAATTTTCTATGAAAAAAGAATTTACATTTTCTTTGCATCTATCCATTAGATCCATTTTACACCACGATTAGAAAATACTCTTAAGAGAATATTTTCAACTAAGGTACTCTCTAGTTAATAGAAACATTCTTCATTTCGATTGAATTGAAAAAAAGAAAAAAAAGTCGCTAATACATGATTTACGCAAATATAGTGGTGTTATATCTTTTTACGTCTGACTTGTGGAAGGGTACTAGTAAAAAAATGATACATAACTGTAATTACTCACTATATAGATCAAATATGGGTGATGCATAAAAGAATTAGATTAATACTATTTATTGCCACTTGTGTTAAGGACCAATTTTTGTGGCAATTACATGACATTAAATGATAAATGCAACTAAATGATAAATCCACTTAAATATAAAGTCACATGACTCGTTTAATTGAACATATAAAGCGTAGCCATCTAAATTGACTGCTAGTGATATATAGTATTATTCAGATAATTATTGTTTTTAAATTAATTCAATATCCTCAGAAGATAATAATATATTCAATGGTATAGTAGGTATTATTAAATAATTTTGTTATGAGAATAAATTAAGTATTTTTACTTCTGCAATACATCTATTAATAAATCGATACTTTCTAAATTATGTCGAAATTTTAATTCTATTTTGATTGTTCTCATTTTCATGTTCATTGTAATTGTCATATATTTAATTTAATTATGTGAGATTAGTTAAAATATATTAGCGTTCAGATCAACAAAATTAGGAACATATTTTATTACATATCACCTAATAGAAAACAAGTCGTTGAAAATTTTTGTACTATAATATTGTCATATAGAATTTTTTAAGTGAAATGTATGAATTATATGTCCATTGATTAGATATGGATGTTAGATGATTGCCCGTACGCACCTTAATGCTAAGATATTGTTGTCAACATCTAAACATACATTATCATTATTAACAACGATTAGTACTAATACAATAAATACAATTCCTCTTCATGTCTTCTTCTTCCTACCACCAAAGTACATCGATGCCGTGCAGATGGAATATAGATAAATTAGTTAAATATTTTATTCGTGAAATGCTTACAATGGTAGACTCAACTGATACATTGGAAGTAAACTTACTTAAATTTTGGAGAAATAATGAACGTCAATATCCAATGGTTTTCATCATTGCCCGTGATGTACTCACACATTTTTGTCCACAACAACAAGATAACAAATGGCTTTTGGCCAAGTGATGGTTTCGAAGATAGGTTTGGACTCTGTGAGAATGATGAAAAAATAATTTATTTATTTTTTATATTTATTACGGGGTCATACCATATTCAACAATATAATTTTCCTTATCACTCATGTTGTAATTATTTCTATGATTTCCATTCCTAAATTAGCCTCGGTTTCTCTTTCCCGTGTACTGTATAAGTCTTGTGAACATTTATTCAAAGTTAGTGAAAATTATTTCATTCACATATCAATTGTAACATGGTATCAGAGCTTTAGGCATACCTATACGGCTGCACCATGGATGATTCAGCTGCTGCTTATGTGCCGGATATCACTAAGTCGCTTACAGATGCGTCATCCCCTTACTTTCTACACTCATTTGATCAACCCAACCAAGTAATTGTTGATGCAGTTCTCAACGGGGACAATTACCCTGCTTGGCGAAGATCCGTAACCCGTGCCTTGAATGCCAAAAACAAATTGGGTTTTGTTCTCGGCACCATTAAACGTCCAACCACCGATACAACCGCTACACTACTCTGGGATCGATGTTGCGACATGATAATGTCATGGCTTCTTCATTCTATTGATAGATTTCTCACCGGAAGTCTCATCTATTGTGCAACACCTAACGACCTATGGATTGAACTGGAAACTCGTTTTCAGCAAAGTAATCAAACAAATTTTTTTCTTTTGAAACGTGAACTTGCAAACCTCAACCAAGAGCAACAGTCCATCACAGCCTACTATGGAAAATTAAAGGAACTTTGGGATGAATTAGCTTCACTCCAGCCCATAAATCCATGTACTTGCGGTGCAACCAAAACACTTTCTAAAATTCAACATTCGGACAGAGTGTACCAATTTCTCATGGGGTTGAACAATAGTTACCAGCAACTCCGATCTCACGTTTTGGCCATGGATCTCCTCCATTCAATTGGGCGTTGCTATGCCATTCTCCACCAAGAACAAGCCCAACACCTGGCCCAAATCTCCACTTCCCGACCTGAAATTTCAACTCTAAATACCCGGACTTCGATGTCGCAGAAAACTTCATACCGTCCACAGCGTGTCTGGTCAAGTGGAATACCCGTCTGTGAAGCTTGTGGTCGGCAGGGACATCAACGTGAAAACTGTTTTGAGGTCATTGGTTACCCGGAATGGTGGCCATCAAGAGGAAAACGTGGCGGATAGCGAAATCCATCACCGGCCGTACACCAAATTTCAGTCGGTTCTGAACCTCCCACTATCGTGCCTCCCACCGCGAGCAACACCTTGGCTCGCCTCTCAACCGAGCAATATGCCCAGTTAATGGAACTCTTAAAACCCCCAAATCTCTCGTTCACAGGTTCTACTTCTATTCCCTCTCTTGATAAGTCTTGGGTAATTGACAGTGGTGCTACACACCATATCACCACCTCACTTTTATGCAATTCCGAAAATGCCACTTGCTCTCGTTATGTTTGTCTTCCAACAGGTTCTCACGCTAACGTGTCTAGTTCGGGTGACATTCATTTATCACCTCGTCTCATACTTTCAAATGTTTTGTCCGATCCAGATTTTCAATTTAATTTATTATGTGTTAGTCAACTAACGAAGTCTCTCAATTGTGTTGTATCCTTTTTTCCCACTTTTTGCACTTTTCAGGACTTAAGCACGAAGATGCTGATTGGAGTGGGTGTTGAGCGCAATGGATTATACTACTTCAGAAATACTTTAGCGACTGCTCTCCAATCATCTAGTCGGATCTCTTTTGACACATGACATCAACGTTTAGGTCACCCTTCCCTCGAAAATGTTCCTAAATTTATTTCACGTTCTCAAGTTAATAAACATTGTGACTTATGTACTCGTGGAAAGCATACTCATTACCTTTTCATTTAATTACAAATAAGAGTTCAATGCCTTTTGAACGTATTTTTTTGTAATATTTGGGGTGGTTATCACACTGCTTCTCTATTCGGTGCACATTATTTTTTAACAATTGTTGATGAATACACTCAAGTTACATGGTTGTATTTAATGTGGTTCAAATCCGAAACTTTAACTTGCCTCCGCACATTTTTTGCCATGATCCTTACTCAATTCAATTCCACTATACGACACATTTGCACTGACAATGATCAAGAATTCCTTGCTAATGCAACTTAGGACTTCTTTTCTGAACAAGGTACCCTCCATGAACGTACTTGCGTGGAAACACCTCAACAGAATGGCGTTGCTGAGCGTAAGCACCGTCATATTCTAAATGTCGCTCGATGCTTATGTTTTCAAGCTCATCTTCCGCTCACCTTTTGGGGCGATTGTGTTCTCACTGCTACATATCTCATCAACCGTACCCATCCTCCTCCTTACACAATATCTCTCCTTTTGAGCGACTTTATCAACGTATACCTTGTTATGGCCATCTGCGTGTCTTTGGTTGTCTCTGCTACGCTTACACCATATCTGCTCATCGTGATAAATTCCAACCTCGTGCTCGTCCCTGTACTTTTTTAGGATATCCACCTACGCATAGTGCATATCGGGTTTATGACTTAGAGAGTAAGAAGACCATAATCTCTCGAGACGTTACCTTTTTTGAGCATGTTTTTCCCTTCAAACTAGTACCTCAGTCGTCCCCATCACCCATCGTCTTACCTCTTCCTATCCCTGACCATCACTGCTACATGACGCTTCCTCCAGGTTATGGCCATAAGGGGGAGACGTGCGTTTGTTATCTCCTTAAATCTCTCTATGGTCTTAAGCAGGCTTCACGAAATTGGTATTCCAAATTGTCTTCTGTACTATTATCTGATGGTTTTACCCAATCTGCAGCGGACCACTCACTTTTTACTCGGATTGTTGGCTCCTCTTTTACTGTGGTTTTGGTTTATGTTGATGACATTTTAGTTGCAGGAAATGATCTTTCAGCCATTACTACACTCAAAACATTCCTTGATGATCATTTCAAAATCAAGGATCTAGGCAACATGAAGTACTTCCTTGGTCTTGAGGTCGCTCGCTCACCACTTGGGATCTTTGTTAATCAGAGAAAATATGCCTTGGATATTCTTGCCAACTCTGGCAATTTGGGTTCCCGACCTATTGCTTTTCCCATGGATCAGAATTTGAGGCTCACTCCAGATGCAGGCACTTTGCTCCCTGATCCTAGTTCATACCGGAGATTGGTGGGCCGCCTACTTTACCTCACTATTACTCGTCCAGTTATCTCATTTTCTGTCAATATGCTGAGCAAATTCATGCAAAGTCCTCGGGACTCACACTACCAAGCTGCACTTCACGTTCTTCGCTACCTGAAGGGATCCCTAGGTCATGGTTTATTTTATTCTACACAATGTGATTTTCAACTTTCTGCATACTCAGATTCTAATTGGGCCAGTTGCCCCACTACTCGTCGCTCCACCTCTGGGTTCTTTATTACACTTGGCTCCAACCCCATCTCTTGGCACACAAAAAATAAAAAGAAAGTTGTCTCTCGTTCTTCTGCCGAAGCTGAGTATCGTACAATGGCGGTGACCACTTGTAAACTTGTTTGGCTTAAGTCACTTCTGCGTGATCTTGCTGTCTTACACCCACAACCTATTTCACTTTTTTGTGATAATGATGCTGCCCTTCACATTACTCGCAATCCAGTCTTTCATGAACGTGCTAAACACATAGAAATTGATTGTCATCTGGTACGTGAGAAGTATCTCTCTGGACTGATCTTTCCTACCCACGTCTCTACCAAGCTTCATTTGGCTGACATTTTTACCAAGGTTCTCGGAAAAGACCTTTTTCAGTACTTTACTCACAAGTTGGGCATTACGGATCTTCATGCTCCAACTTGAAGGGGAGTATTACGGGGTCATACCATATTCAACAATATTATTTTCCTTACCACTCATGTTGTAATTATTTCTATGATTTCCATTCCTAGATTAGCCTCGATTTCTCTTTCCCGTGTACTATATAAGTCTTGTGAACATTCATTCAAAGTTAATGAGAATTATTTCATTCACATATCAATTGTAACAATATTTTTATTATTTAATTATTATAGGTAGGATACATGTAGAGTTATCATTCTATCCTTTTTAAAAATTCATTGTTTTACTTTTAGTTAATTGACAAATTTACCAATACCACTCAAAATTGAACATGCATTGTACGTTATTCTAAAATACTTTATAAGTGATGTAAAAGTAATATTTGATACCAATTTCTTGGAGGATTTGATGAATTTCGGAAGAATTAAAGAAAAAATTTAGCATAAAAATTTATGAGAAGAAATTTGTACTCAAATTATGCTCTCAAAACTCAATTTCTATGATTCAAACTTTTTGTAATGATGAAATACTATAAATGAGCAATTTTTTAATATTATATTTGATATATAAAAAATAATTGTTAATACATAAATTTAAACATCCATTAAAATTTCTACATACATGAATATGAATAAATTCATCTATAAACTCTAAATTCATGTAGTTCAAGATTCATCAAGTGATAATTCACTAAATCTAGATTAATGTAAATTTTAATTAATTGAGAATTAATAAGACAAACTTCATAAATGACAATAATTTTATAGTATTTATTGCATATGGAAAAATGAAAAGTAAGGTAAATAATTGAATTATAGGAGGGTTAAAATCATTCAAAAAATGATTCTTTCTTAATATGATATTTTAATTTATTATAGATTTTAGATAAATAATTAGGGCAGTACTGTGCACACAGTATCGTGTACAACCCTCTCACAGTTCAGGGGGTCCACGCGCAATAAAAAATTTGGGGCCCCCCCACTTGCGAGGGGGCTGTAGCCCGAGCTGTATAGCTCGGGCTGTACAAACAGCATTTCCGAAATAATTATAGGTCCTTCCTCCATACATTCATAAAAAGGTTTGGGATATAGGATTAAAAGGTTTAAGACTTGATTGCATAATTTTGAAAGGTTTTAATCCCTGGCTACAAATTTTCGTAATAACATTTGAGAAATACATAATTTCACAGCATATAAATTATACTCAATCGAACGGGATGCACATGATGAAGCCATGTTTAATTGAGTGAAGGAGTGATAGTGATTTCAACAACCAGAAGTCATGTTTAGCCTATGTTTTTGCTACTATTTGTAAATAGTCGAATTAATTTTTATTTATAAATTTTGTGGGATGTACAGGTAATATTTATCCAAAAATGAGTTTTGTAACAATGGGGAAAATGTAATTAACAAGTAGGGAAAATTTTTGAATTTATGTGTAAAATTATTTTATTGGGAGAATGTGCGGTTGAAAAAGAGTTTGGAGAAAAATGAATTTTTAGATGAAGGGCTGTAACGGGGGCTTATCCATTATTTTTATTTCTATCCATTTATAATTTAAATGATTTATAAGCGCTTCTTAAACAAGCTTCAAGTGGAGCGATATTGTAATGTAATAAAAAAAAATTTGGTTGATTACATTAGTATTTTATTGCTTTTGCATTATGTTAGTGTTTGACCCTCATTATTTTGAAAATACATTTTCTCTCTCTTTTTTAATCACAGGTTCTTCAATGAGGGAAAAGGGGGACTCAAAGAGGCTCTAAATTAAAATATTCATAATAAGGATAGTAGTCGGGCAAGTTATGATTCAATATTTCCCTAACCAATTTCTTCATTCAAATGTACAAGTTTATGGACTTTTTGTCCCGTGCAAGACCCATTGTTTAAAATAGTAATGATATTTAGCACCATTGATATTTAGTTAAGTCCCTGTTTGGGCCCCATTATAATTAGATTTGAAGAAAAATGTATTTTGTAATAGTGAGTTTTTGAAAAATACATGGTTACAAACGAATAATTTTTTTTGGATTTACGTGTAGTATTATTTTATTAGAGAATATGCGGTTGAAAACAAGAAAGAAAAATGTATTTTGAAATTAATGGAGGCCAATCAACGGCTATGTGATATGTTCAATGAAAAATAAAATTAAGCCCATGTTTGGCTCCATTCAAAAATAGATATTCTAAAAAAAATGTATTTTAGAATAGTGATTTTTCTAAGAATATTTGACTTAAAAATAAGAAAAAATTGAATTTACGTGTAATATTATTTTATTAGAGAATGCGATTGAAAATAGGAAATATAAAAATGCATTTTTTTTCTAAAATGGAGTTCAAACACAAGCTAAATGATTTATTTAATTATGCCCATTATTTAATA